ATTTTAGGGGTAAGTAAGCTGTTTCAGAGGCAAAAAAGTGAGATAGAGCCTCTGGGCCAGGGTACCGGATGGTGCTGGCAGGAGAGTAGCGGCCCTGCCTGGGGTGTCCTGCCAGTCTTTTTATGGGGCTTCCCACCTCACTATCACACTTAAAAGAAAACCCAAACTCTTTACCAACCTTCCCTTTGTCTCCAGCCTGTGTCTTACCCTTCTCTGCCCCAGCTCACACCACTCCAGCCACACCAGCTTCCTTTCTGTTCCTCAACCTGCCAAGTTCGCTACTGCCTTGAGGCCTGTACCCTTGCTGTTCCTCCATAACTTCCCAGCCACCTGTTCCCTCTTCCAATGTCACCCCTCCAGAGAGGCCATCTCTGATCACCCTTATCTAACCACCACCACCCCTCCATGTTCCCTGAGACATACTCTATCTCCTTATACTGTTTTATTTATTATAGTACTCATTATTTGAAATAATCAATACTTAAAATTATATCATTCATTTGTTTAAGACAGCTTTTCTCTGTCTCCTCTACTAGAATGTAAGCTCCATGAGAGCAGGGATTTAGATCCACAGTGCCTAGAACAGTGTCTGGCACACAGTAGGTACTAGGTGCAGGGGATATGGTGGAACAAAACAGGGAAGGTTCTTGCCCTCGCAGAGTGTCATTTGACTGAGATGGGGGAGGAGGAGACAGACAACAGACAAGCAAGGAAATAACAGGATAGTTGAATGATGTAATAAACCCTGTGAAGGAAGGAAGCAGGGGAGTGTGGTAAAGAGTAACTGGACAGAGGCCAGAGATTGCATCTTTGGATACAGTAGTCACTCAAGGCCTCTTTGAGGAAGCTGCAACCCAATTGATGAGGAAGTCAGCCGTGGAGAAGATGAGAAAGCATGTTCCAAATAGAGGGAACAGCGAGTGCAAAGGTCCAGGGGTAGGAAAGAGCTTGGCATGTTTGAGGAACAGAAGGGAACACAGTGTGACTGAGCAGAGAGAACAATGTGGGAGGAGGTAGGAGAGGCAAGCAGGGGCTTGGCCACACAGGGCTTTGGAGGACTCATCAGTTTGGATTTCAGTCCAAGGGCACATACTAGGAAACCATTGAAGAGTTTTAAATTGAGATGAAGTATGACTAGAGAAACTAAATAGAAAATGCACTGAGCAACCAAAGCCATTAAGGGAAGCAACTAACTTATTCCAGAACCTGCCAGAGACCCAGCTGTATTGCTACAGCAAGGCCTGGGGTTGATAAATTGAATATTTAGAACACTGTCCAAGAGAGGTTTTCATTCAGGATGCTCAGTGGCTTGTCCCAGAGGTGAACCATCTGGGAGAAAGCATCACATAGCCAAACAGAGGGAAAGGAAGAAAAACCGAAGTGCAAGGTTCTTCCTTAAGGCAGCAAGACAAGAGCACTGCAGAGGAAGTGATAAGGGAACTGTGTTCTGTGCAGATGGGGGAAAGGCTTAGGGCCTGTGGTGAAGGAAGCAGGAACGCTGCATGGGCTCCCAGCAGCATCCCAAGGGAGAGCAGTGCCCCACAGGGGTCCAGCCACATCCACAGAAGCAGCAGCAGAAGGAAGCACGGGCTGGAGGACCGAAGCTTGTGTTAGCACCTGCCCAGGACAGAATTTTCCAGCAGGATAAAGGCATTCCCCTCAGACCCAGGGCCAGAAGGCAGGATCCAGCTACCCCAGAGGGCAGTTTAGCAACTGCCAGAGAATCAGAGACCAATCCATATGCCATATATGTTTGTGTACTCAGGAGTAAGGGCAGAAGTCAGGGGTGAGTGAGGGAGAGCAAGACCAGCTGACACTTCTCAGTATCAATGACCATGACATAAAACCTGCTGGGCCTGCCCCATAAGGTAGTCAGACTGGCCTGGACTTGATGGAAGGCTAAAGGGATTTTTTTTAATACCTGGGAGGAAGTAAATCAAGGTGTGTAATCTGGAATTAATTTCCATCCCAGATCTGGAGTGATATGGAGAATGGGTATTTCTTATCTGCCTCTGACTGGCTGGGACTCCCACAAAAGGCACATCACCCAGGCCCTACAGGATTTTTTTATTGTTTTTTTTTCAGCTTTATTGAAATCCAACTGACATACCCTTCGGTTTTCTTATCTGTCAAAGGAGAGAGGAAGAATCCCTAGTGAAAAACAGCTAATAT